ATACAGAAGGCTGGACAACTCAGAGGTACATACTTATCTGTAATACAGAAGGCTGGACAACTCAGAGGTACATACTTATCCGTCATACAGAAGGCTGGACAACTCAGAGGTACATACTTATCTGTAATACAGAAGGCTTGGCGACTCAGAGGTACATACTTATCTGTCATACAGAAGGCTGGACAACTCAGAGGTATGTACTTATCTGTTATACAGAAGGCTGGGCGACTCAGAGGTACATTCTAATCTGTCAAACAGAATGCTGGGCAACTCAGAGGTATGTACTGATCTGTCATACAGAATGCAGGGCAACTCAGATGTATGTACTTATCCGTCATACAGAAGGCAGGGCAACTCAGAGGTATGTACTTACTTCAGTCATACAGATGGCTGGGCTACTCAGAGGTACATACTGATCTGTCATACAGAAGGCTGGACAACTCAGAGGTACTTACTTATCTGTAATACAGAAGGCTGGGTGACTCAGAGGTACATTCTAATCTGTCAAACAGAATGCTGGGCAACTCAGAGGTATGTACTTATCCGTTAACAGAAGGCAGGGCAACTCAGAGGTATGTACTGATCTGTCATACAGAAGGCAGGGCAACTCAGATGTATGTACTTATCCGTCATACAGAAGGCAGGGCAACTCAGAGGTATGTACTTATGTCATACAGTAGGCTGGGCTACTTAGAGGTACATACTGATCCGTCATACAGAAGGCTGGGCAACTCAGAGGTACATACTGATCTGTCATACAGAAGGCTGGACAACTCAGAGGTATGTACATATCCGTCATACAGAAGGCAGGGCAACTCAGAGGTATGTACTTACGTCATACAGAAGGCTGGGCGACTCAGAGGTACACACTTATCTGTCATACAGAAGGCTGGGCGACTCAGAGGTATGTACTTATCCGTCATACAGAAGGCAGGGCAACTCAGAGGTATATATGTACTTACGTCATACAGAAGGCTGGGCTACTCAGAGGTACATACTGATCCGTCATACAGAAGGCTGGGCAACTCAGAGGTACATACTGATCTGTCATACAGAAGGCTGGGCGACTCAGAGGTACATACTGATCTGTCATACAGAAGGCTGGATGACCAAGAGGTAGGTAGTGACTAGTCATACAATAGGTACAAAGGCTAGACATCTGAAGAGGTAACGTGAATTTCCATAAATGGGAACTCTAGAGTTTCTATGACCTTCCACAATGTTCCATCACAGTTATCTTTATGTTACATGTTCGAAAATGAAACATTTAAAATTTCATTCTAAATTACAGTGGGTGAATATAATATCTGGTTACGTCCATTATATTGTGGCATAAAGGTAAGTTATCGTTTTCTGAATAGATATGTATATGTGTAGTCTCTCTCTACCTTAACCCTAACAGATATTTACAAATGTCCATCGAGGCACGCAACAAGTAATGGTTTTCATTTATTTGCAGTTGGCCGGTTCAAGACACAGGTTGTGAACGGATGTAGAGGGGCAATCAAAACCAATAATGTCAGCTCGCTGTTTAAAATTATCAAGACTGGAGCTTCATGATAGTGGCTACACCAAGTTTAAATGACTTTTACTGCATTCCGTCCTGAAATATGTGCATAATTTATCATTCCCAGGAATAACAAACTTTGGGCACCACCAGATCTATTGGGATCACAGGTACCATACTTTGTTCGTTAGGCACAGCTTCAACCTGTCTTAAGAGTCAACTGTACTGAAGTACCTCCTTATGTTTGGACAAAAGATTCGGTCTCTTTACATTTGGCAAAATTAGGGACCACAAAAAGACATATACACTACACTTCCTAACGTATGTTCTTGACGAGTCTCTGTTATACGCCTCTCATATGATTTCATATCGTCTCTTTATTGATTATCGTGTGTGAGTAAGTGAGGAGTACCAAGAGTTCTGCAGGAGAGGATGTTACAAGTACTGTCAAGATTTTGGCTATGGCGATCATTAAAAAGCATGTCAATGATTTCTGTACCAACTGGAAAACTGGAACTATTAATGAATACTTTTTTATGTGCATGATAAAAACTTAACAAAATAGTTTCTGGGGGGAAAAAGAAAACACTCCCATTAATGGCTAGTGTGGGCCTGTATCCTTGAAACCGTTCTCATGCTCAAGCATGGATTTTGTGCTCAGGCCGAATTTCATGTCCTGGTAATAAATTAATAAACAAGACTTAAGGCCAAGTACTGTTTTCAATGATTACGTTTGACATTTTGATCGTTTGACATGATTTAAGCGAGTTACAAGAAAGTTTGTTTAATTTGAGCACAGAATCCATGCTTGAGCATGAGAACGGTTTCATGAATACGGGTCAAGGCCTTGCTGAACTTTAATAAAAATATTGTAAAGATGAAATGAACAGAAAGAAATCTACAACAGGACCAGACCACGATTCAAACCGTGGACGTCTGATCGCAATATGGTGTTCTAATCCACTGAGCTACCTGATCTTGTCCCACAACAGTACATCAATGGTGATATTCAAGGGAGGTTACTCTATGTAAGAAAAACTGAAGTCGAATTCTCTAATGTTTTCCCTGCAGCAATGGGGCAGGGATCCTTAATTGGATTTAAAAAAAAGAAGATAGCTAGCTGTTAAGGTTCTGATACATACTTTAGAAAACTATAATGTTAGTCAGCCCTTCATTTTTGCGAACCAACGAATCTTTGTTAGCTGGTAACTTATGTGTAAAAGATGTGGATTAATTAGGTTGCCTTACAAGCGTCAGCTGTAGGGAAATTTCCTTTAGCTCAGCGGTAGAGCATCAGGCTGGAGAGCCAAGGGTCGCGGGTTCGAGCCCCAGCAATAGCACTTTCTTTATCACTATTCCTTGTCCTTCTACATATGTACTTTGCTTCTGCAAAGAAACAGAAAAAAAGGTTTCCATTTCATCTATACTCTAGAATACCATTTACCAGGAAACTGTCTCCCAGTCAAACTTTTGCCCTTCACCTATATAATATACATTAAGCCCAGAGTCACTCACTGTAACCCTCGTTACTGATTCACTATGTTAAGTGTTCTATGAAATAATATTTCCTTGAATGATAAACGCTGTTTGTTATAGAGGGCAAAGAGCAAAAGTTAAACTGTGGAGGAAATTTCCCAGTATATGGGATTTCGCGCCATAAAATTACATCAGGTTATGTGTATACATGAATGATTGTAATATATTCTTCACAGCAATCTGCGACATTTTTATACGCCCGTCAAATTTGACGGGAGTATTGTGGTATGGCGTTGTCTGTCCGTCCGGCGTAAACTTTTATTTGTCCGGCAATCTCCTCCTACATTTTTCGACCGATCTCTTTGAAACTTGGTATACATTATAATCGTGATATGAAGTTGTGTCTCCCTTAAAAGAATTTTGATGCAACAATATTTTCAAAAGTAATTGCCCTTTGTTCATTTCAGTATTTGATTTTTGTCCGGCAATCTCCTCCTACATTTTACAACGGATCTCTTTGAAACTTGGTATACATTATAATTGTGATATGAAGTTGTGGTTCCCTTAAAAGAATTTTGATGCAACAATTTTTCCAAAAGTTATTGCCCTTTGTTCATTTCAGTACTTGATTTTTGGTCCAGAGATCTTCTTCTACATTCTTTGACAGATTTCTTTGAAACTTAGTAGGCTAAATAATCATGATATGTTGTTGTGTTTCCTTGAAAAGAATTTTGGTTCGACAATTTTTGCAAAAGTGATTGCCCTTTGTTCATTTCAGTATTTGATTATTTTATCTGGAGATTTTCTCCTACATTTATATAGCATGTCGGCTAACCACTCTTTGAATGATGCAGATCTTATTTCAATGTAAGAAAGTATATAACACTATATGGCGGCATTCAACGGGCGTATATTGTTCCGCCCCGCGGTAATCTTGTTTCTGTTAGACGGTCATTTGTAGCTGTCTTTACTGAAATGTGTTACGAAAATATCAGACGAATAATGTTTGGCTTGGATTTATTTTATTTCAGTACAGGAGGTTTAAAAACGTCTGAGATATTTATTTTGTTAGGAACAGATGAAATACAATATGTTTGTTAATACACTATCCTAAAATACACCCAGTGTATGTTGTACTGTGATACTGTATTACATTGTAATGTAATACTGTTTAATATGATGAAGTAAATAAAGTTCTTAATTATTATGTCAATAATCTTTTATCTATTATTTCTGGTGATTATAGAACTTTTCTTATCGTCATAGCAGAGGCGTATATATTACAGAGATTGGCAACTCACGCAGATCTCGCAAAAACATGCATGATCATATTGTTCAGGCAGTGGAATAAGATACGCCGCCAGACTTGGGTTGCAGGTGCAAAATCAAGCGGAACCGGGTATGTGAGTGTTTGTTTTGACAGCTAAAAGCACATGTCGAAGCAGAACGATATCGATCCTGGTGACGATAGTCTGGTCAGTGTGATACCTGTGATAATTTGATCGTGTATTCTTTAGGTCGTGTTGACATGTCACATATCCTAGATACATGGATCATATATAGAAGCTGGTTAGAAACAAATATGTTAAAAAATTTAAACAACTTCTGATTAACCAAAATGCCCAGTGTGATGATATTTGGCCAGAAGCATGTTGGCATAAAGGGCTACCAGGTTTGTTCAAACAAATGACCTTCACTCACATTCAAGGTTACAGGGGTCATTTGTCTTAAACACCTTTAAACAACTTCTTCTGAATAACCAAAAGGCCCAGGATGTTGATATTTGGCCAGTAGCATGCTAGGATGAATGACATTGAATTATATTCAAGGTCACAGGGGTCAAATATGTTTAAAACCTTTAAACAACTTCTGAATAACCAAAAGGATCAGTATGATAATATTTAGTCAGAGGCATGCTGGGATAAAGGGCTACAAAGCTCGTTCAAATAAATGACCTTCACCCATATTCAAGGTCACAGGGACAAATATGTTAAAAACTTCAAACAACTTGTTCTGAATAACCAAAATACCCAGGGTTATATAATTTGGCCAGTAGCATGCTGGGATAAAGGGCTACCAAGTTTGTTCAAATGAATGACCTTGAATTATATTCAAGGTCACAGGGGTCAATTGTCTAAAAAAACACACACTTAAAACAACTTTTTTCTGAATAACCAAAAGGCCAAGGATGTTGATATTTGGCCAGTAGCATGATCATGGGCCTTTTGTTTAAAGATATTAACATATTTGACCGATGTGACCTTGAAAATGGGCAAAATTCATTCATTTGAACAAATCTGGTAGCCCTTCATTCCAGCATGCTACTGGCCAAATATCATCAGCCTAGGCCTCTTGGTCATTCAGAACAAGTTGTTTTAAGTAAAAAGTCGACACAGGACGGACGACGGACGCCGTACTATACCATCAGCTCATTTGGCTCTTCGGGTCCCCCAAGGCCTGCTGCTGCGCGGGAAGGAGGATAACTCTCGGGCGATATCAGATCTAATATTACTCTCTAAACATCAGTACAATGTGAAGATAGGATATTATAGACGGATCTCAAAAGGAATTTCGACACACATATATATAGACGCACAATCGGGTATCACCGGATACTACCGGAAAAGACGATTCCACCAGGGAACACATCTAAACTCGACGGGGAACACCATTATATTGCAGTTGTAAGCATGACTTAGGTAGATATTATTTTAATTTTGTGAAATGTGTACAAACTCTCAGAAATAAAATATGCCTAATTATAAGGCGCCCAGCGATAACGTAAGTATACATCTCAGTAATCAGTCAAGCTCAACACATTGCCGTTTCAATTGATGCTCAACACCATTCGGCTACCCTATTATCAAATGACGAATGTGACACATATTTTGTCAAATATATCCAAAAAACATTATCAAAACATCTCGGACAGAGCTTTGTTATAAAACTTGTTATTTTTTACTTCAACAACTAAGTAGCAACATGGGCTAAATATAATGCCAATGTAAACACCTCAAAATATATACAGGCCAAGAGAAGAACAACGTCAGATATGAGATCACCCAGCAAGGGGAGCGACATCAAATAGATCTGGTGGCCAGTGAAAGAAATCTCGGTGTAGTTATTGATACAAATCTAAAATTTAGTGAGCAAGTAAACCGCTGCAGTATCTAAAGCTAACAGAAACGTAGGTCTCATATTCAAAACTTTTAGTTGTATTAATAACAAAATGTTTCTCAACCTTTACAAATCTTTGGTACGTCCAAACCGTGAAATTATTTTTACTACGTGGTCACCTATACTGAAAAAAGACCAAATCTCCCGAGAAAATTTTCAAAGAAGGGCAACCAAACTAGTTCCATCCCTAAAAGATCTTTTGTAACCCTGAGGGTATTCGTCGGCTAGGACTAGAAATCTATAAGGTGATAAACACCATAGATATAACCAACCAACATTAGAGGACATGCTTTTAAAAATAGAATTGTAAATATTTGGAATCAACTCCCTACAATTGTGGTAGATTCCCCAACCTTAAATGTTTTTAAATCTAGACTCAATAAGCATTGGGTCAAACATCCAATCAAGTTTTTACCATCTTGCTACTTACATATGATATTAAGTTGTATAGGGACCGCAGAACCAAATGATTTTCCATAGACGATAGTGTAAACGTTTACCACTGTCCTGGTTAAATGGGGTTATCCACACTGGCTTACCTGCCCTCATTTTGAAGAATATCATCTCACATAACTGTGAAAAAAATATTGAAAAAATTCTACCTATTTGACCTTTTTTATATGGGGGCCGCCATTTTGTATTGAATTCGGCACCAAAAATTGACCAAAATTAACAACAAATTACACACTTAATAAACTCCCCCTGACAAAAGCAGACTTGAAAAGTTCTGATTTTTTTATATACATTTTACATCTTTATATATTGCTCAACCCACACTTAAAACTTTTGAAACTTCTGCCACCTGAATATCCAACCAGCAGGCCCCAAGGCATTCACCTTCCTATCAAATCTTCTGCCCAAAAGAGAGAAAAAAACACAATCTATTTTTGATTTGGTTCCATGGAATCCAGGGACGCTTGAATGGTGTAAAACGTCATATCCTGTATCTTTCTATAGGATCCTACATATTTTTCAAATTTACCATTTTTGGAAAAAGTCAGGACCATAGGGTATGATACCAAAATGGGAAGACTGGCTGGCTCCAAGGCTTGGGCTGGTAGGTCAAGTCTTCTACTGGTACTGAAGATGGAGATTCCTGCAAGAAAAGACATGAACATTGAATCAATTTCAAATGTAAATTTAAATATCTTAACAAACATGATACTTAGACTTATGGTTTTGAGTTTTTATTAGGGCCCACTTGTATAAAACATCTAAAAGTTAAGGAAAATCTCAAGCAATGTATTGTCTATGGGAAATCTTAGACTTGAGGAAATCTCAAGAGTTGAGATGTTTTATACAAGTGGGCCCAGGTACTGTACTACTCAGAAATATAAACAAATAACATATTGTATGAAGATCAGGGGAGATAACTCAATTTTAAGACCTATACCCCCTTAATCTTGGACTTTATGTAAAAAATTCAGGACATCAGCAATTATTTTGAGAAAAGAGCCAAAAGACAGACTCAAAAGTAAAAACTAAAAATATAACTGTACAAACAGTACAACAACCCAATGATAGGATTACAGAATGTTTACATAACACCAGCTGAGATGAAAGACAGTGATAGGGGAGGCTGCTCATGGTGTAAGGGAGGCAATCATGAATTTTACCATAGTACAGGACCAAATCACTAGTGTGTGCAGGGAAGAAAAGAAATAACTTGCTAACAGACAACTTATACTTACCAAGTGATTTTAAAGTCGGCGGTGGAGAGGCAACTGTTTCAAAAATTCTGATGGAGAAAGTTAAGACCTGTCCGGTCTGATCCAGAGGTTTTTTTGGGCTTCAGGAACCCCCCCCCACCCTGAAAATTTTCTTCAAAAATCATGTATTTTCACCATTTTCCTCAATTTTCCCCACATGGAATATTTAAGAGATGTTATCAGGATTTATGAAACCGTTCTCATGCTCAAGCATGGATTTTGTGCTCAAGCCTAATTTCTTGTTCTGGTTTTAAATTAATAAAAAAAGTCTTATTTTACCAATGATTTGGAAAAATTTGAAAAGACTTAAAGATGAATACTGTTTTCGATGTTTACAATTGACTTTTTGATCATTTGATATGATTTAAGCGTGTTACTATAAAGATGGTTTGAGCACAGAATCCATGCTTGAACATGAGAACGGTTTAATTAATGCTAGCCCCGGGCTCATAGTGAGATCAAAGACCTGTAGCGGTAACATTTGCTCAGTGTTGTTTGAAGCTCCTCCGGTGGGAAACCCATGCTACCTCATTTATTGGTTAACATATACATGCTTTATTCAGAAAACCAGAAACAGTGAAGAAACACCTATGTTTCTTAATACCAATTTATTTTTGTTTCGTTTAGACATTTTTCAATTTCCCTAAAAAAGGTAAAAATTATCTTCAAGTATGGTTCTGGAAGGTAATAAAAGGTATCTGACCACGTGACGATGTGGAATGACTTTGGAATTTAATGGTAGAAAAATTGATCCATATTTTTCTGATTCAGCACAAGACTCCAACATTTCAAATGCGGTCAAAATGGTCGTTAAACAGTGTAATTTTCAATAATCAAACATGGGTATTACCACGGACTTAGATAATCTAATTCCGTGGCATTACTTATGATTTCAGAGGGATGGAAAAACAAGCTTGAAGCTTTCCATTGATGCTTTCAAGATCAAATACACATGTAGCATAAACCGTTGGAGAGTTTTGAGTTTAATTGTAAGGAGAAACCTAGTTGGATCGCCACCCAAATCTATAGATGTATATAACTACATGTTTACGTCTCTGCCAAACCGACCACTCTTCACAAAAATACTTTTTAAATCAATAAATATGTCAACAGTTTATGTTTTACAGTCATGCAATAATTCCATCTTTTCTTATTGCAGTTATCTGCTCCAAGCATGGATTTTGTGCTCAAGCGTCATTTGTTTGTGAGAGTAACGTCATCAATTTTTGAAAAAAACAACGTAATTTTCTCACACAAACCAAAGACGTAACAATCAATACCTGCTCACAAGAGAAGATAACTCTGCAATACGCAAAGACGGAATATGTTCTCTACATTTGATCAATATACGATATCAAATACTGTAGCATCATAAGACGTATTTAATACTCAAAAAATAGTTGTTAAAAATGGTGCATGTGACGACTATATATCTTTGTTGGGACAACGTGAATGCACTCAAACGATAGAAACGCTTGTGTTCATAAAAAGAATCAATGATAATTATGAAATGTCCAGATTACAGCAAAGATTTGTTCATTTAAAGTGTCTGTTTTTAGGATAATTTAAAGTTCAAGCAGTGATCCGTTTCAGGTATTGGCATATGCTATAATCCGAACAATAAATGATAAACCAGAGACACATAAAGACACTAGTATAAACGTAGAAAACGTTGTACATTTGAATATATTCCGTCTTTTCGTATTGCAGAGTTGTCTGCTCTTGTGAGCAGGTATTAATTGTTACGTCATTTGTTTGTGAGAGTCACGTCATAAAATTTTGAGAAAACGACGTAATTTTCTCACACAAACTAATGACGTAACAATCACAAGAACAGATAACTCTGCAATACGAAAAGACGGAATATATGATTACATCTATCCCTTCTTTAGCTTAGCAAACTCTGACTGCGCATGAATTCGCGTTTACACAGTGAAAAAAGGTATCGGTGCACCATAGAATAAGTTCGTTGGCAACTGCGTTCATACTACCGTATACGCCGTCAAAGTGAAGGTCAAATCTAACATATACCATAACAACCACAAACATATATATGTACCTGCCATATACGATAGAAAAACGATTTCCCATTGGTTAATTTTTAATTAAAGAGCTGTGACATTATCGGCACAGGACTTACAAATGTAAACACAAATCATGTTATTATTACTGAATTTATATTTATATTGTAGAACTGACAGCAGAGGAACATGTAAATTTTTATAGTCAGAATAAAATCTGTGTATCACGTCCGAGTCACTGTGAATAGCCCACGTGAGTTTCCTTTGAAAGGACACATATGTTTATTCTTCCGTTAACATTAATTAGTTCATATAAGTCATCTTATGAATGATCTATCATGAGTTAAGAAATGATTGATTGGTGATCCTTTTTGTATACTCTCACCATAGTAATAAATGTTTATGTAAATAATTCTGGGTCATCGGTCCATACACTCAAGATCGTACATTTGTCGCTGGTAAAGTTAGATAGAGTTCAAGTTCTGAAGTAGATCTATCTCATATTATGAAAGAAAACAAATAATTTCAATAGTTGTGTGACCATGTGAGGTTGATTTTTTTCCTACGATAATATATATAAACATTCAATCAACCATGCCGGAAATTAATCAATATGGCGCTTAATTGACCTACATATTGAACCCAGGGACTGAAAAGTTCTGTCTTCAAAACAGATAATTTTATACAAAAATATTCACATTTAATTATCATAAAACATTTTCAGCTTATTCAACGATATGACGAATGAAATATCAATTTTTGGAGACCGCAAGTTACCACCCCGCTACATGCGCGAATCCATTGCCGAGTAATAGTAATTTCCCAATGTCTCTGAAAATACCACTTTTATATCGTTTTATGATTTTAAAATAAACATTTTGTAGATCGCTAAAAATTGGCAGCATATAAATAATGCATGCATATATACGGTGTAGTCTGGTGGAGATACTAGTGCTGTCACAATATATTGGAAAACAGGTATATCGCAATACACGGGTGTATCGTATCGTACCACAATACAGACATGAAATATTGCTGTATCGCAATTATTTTTTAAAAGCTTTATGTATCTCATTCTGCTTGGTGTTTTAACTTTTCAAATTACTACTCATTCTAACCGATATATGCCAATAAGCATCAACAGACTTTTAATAGTGGTGGGAATTAGTTCAAATTTTGTAATCGATGGTTGGTTTGACCAGAGACGTATAATACACTGGTTTGACAGAAATCTTAAAACTATGTGATCCATATTATATATGATGAAGTTTGATAACATTCTGTCAACAACTTATTATAAAATCGAGCACATCTTTCCTATGACATTATACCGGGGTACGTATCGCAATATATTCATTCTGTATTGCAATATATACACTCTTGGCGTATTGTGACACCCCTAGGAAATACATTGGCTACAACTTTTAACTAAGTACAACACCTTTGCGTTCGTTTAATTGATACATCGTAGAAATCGTAATATTTTGGAATTTAACTAATTATTTTTGCACTTATTAAAAAAATAATAAATTTACTACGAATAAACTTACTTTGTGTTTACATTGACGGTCGCAAATGTCCAATGGTCTTGAAACAAATGGAAAACCAACAAAAACATTTCGTTTCCATGATTTTTTTTTCGAGTTTTCAGAACTTAAATATTATGTAATGCCGCGTGGTGGATAACTGATAAAAATATCAAGAAACAAGAAAAGAAAATGAATAGTGTCTTTAAGTTATATCGATTTACTTTTTTAATACCTTAAAAAAAACCTCTGAATCGGCGGATGCGCAACTTCACTTGACGCGCGCGCAGCGTACGTGTTCTGTTAGTCGCGGGAAGGAGGATAACTCTCAGGTGATCTGACAACAGCGATAGAAACAGGATGACCCGAAGACTACGTTATTTAGAAGGAGATGGAACACAGGATTTATATTGTAGGTGATAACCCAAACCCAGTCTGTCTTAAATATCAGGAATAATAAATCCAGATTCCTTTGAGTTTTATCAAGAGGGAAAAAAGGCAATACAAATTTGGCACACGTTTACATAATCCGCTAAGAGTGTAGACTTGTCAATAATGCATTTGAACGGGCCATGCAAATCATTGACAATCTAAATAGATTTAACACATATTCTTTTGTGATTTACAATAAATCAGACGCTTCTCTAGTAGGCCTATATAGGTTTTATGTCTAATTCGCGGTCATTGATATAAGCTAAGGGGAGACAATTCTGATAGACTTGCCAATATGTAAGTTTGGCAAGCCTGGTTTGCTTTAGGGTTAATGCTGCTAACCCAGTTCTATTTAAGAATAAAATAGTAAGGACATGTATTGCTGTTCAAATATTTATTTTAAATACCTACACAATTTAAACACTATCAAAATTTTTAATCTATTTATGTCTTATATTAGATTTAAAATAGTATAATCAGAGATCTTGTGACTACCATGAGATATTGTTAGCTTGGTTTATGTGACTAAAACCTTTAGTTTGACTTCTTTGACTACCATGAGATATTTCTAGCTTGGTTTATGTGACTAAAACCTTTAGTTTGACTTCTGTGACTACCATGAGATATTTTTAGCTTGGTTTATGTGACTAAAACCTTTAGTTTGACTTCTGTGACTACCATGAGATATTTTTAGCTTGGTTTATGTGACTAAAACCTTTAGTTTGACTTCTGTGACTACCATGAGATATTTTTAGCTTGGTTTATGTGACTAAAACCTTTAGTTTGACTTCTGTGACTACCATGAGATATTTTTAGCTTGGTTTATGTGACTAAAACCTTTAGTTTGACTTCTGTGACTACCATGAGATATTTTTAGCTTGGTTTATGTGACTAAAACCTTTAGTTTGACTTCTGTGACTACCATGAGATATTTTTAGCTTGGTTTATGTGACTAAAACCTTTAGTTTGACTTCTGTGACTACCATGAGATATTTTTAGCTTGGTTTATGTGACTAAAACCTTTAGTTTGACTTCTGTGACTACCATGAGATATTTTTAGCTTGGTTTATGTGACTAAAACCTTTAGTTTGACTTCTGTGACTACCATGAGATATTTTTAGCTTGGTTTATGTGACTAAAACCTTTAGTTTGACTTCTGTGACTACCATGAGATATTTTTAGCTTGGTTTATGTGACTAAAACCTTTAGTTTGACTTCTGTGACTACCATGAGATATTTTTAGCTTGGTTTATGTGACTAAAACCTTTAGTTTGACTTCTGTGACTACCATGAGATATTTTTAGCTTGGTTTATGTGACTAAAACCTTTAGTTTGACTTCTGTGACTACCATGAGATATTTTTAGCTTGGTTTATGTGACTAAAACCTTTAGTTTGACTTCTGTGACTACCATGAGATATTTTTAGCTTGGTTTATGTGACTAAAACCTTTAGTTTGACTTCTGTGACTACCATGAGATATTTTTAGCTTGGTTTATGTGACTAAAACCTTTAGTTTGACTTCTGTGACTACCATGAGATATTTTTAGCTTGGTTTATGTGACTAAAACCTTTAGTTTGACTTCTGTGACTACCATGAGATATTTTTAGCTTGGTTTATGTGACTAAAACCTTTAGTTTGACTTCTGTGACTACCATGAGATATTTTTAGCTTGGTTTATGTGACTAAAACCTTTAGTTTGACTTCTGTGACTACCATGAGATATTTTTAGCTTGGTTTATGTGACTAAAACCTTTAGTTTGACTTCTGTGACTACCATGAGATATTTTTAGCTTGGTTTATGTGACTAAAACCTTTAGTTTGACTTCTGTGACTACCATGAGATATTTTTAGCTTGGTTTATGTGACTAAAACCTTTAGTTTGACTTCTGTGACTACCATGAGATATTTTTAGCTTGGTTTATGTGACTAAAACCTTTAGTTTGACTTCTGTGACTACCATGAGATATTTTTAGCTTGGTTTATGTGACTAAAACCTTTAGTTTGACTTCTGTGACTACCATGAGATATTTTTAGCTTGGTTTATGTGACTAAAACCTTTAGTTTGACTTCTGTGACTACCATGAGATATTTTTAGCTTGGTTTATGTGACTAAAACCTTTAGTTTGACTTCTGTGACTACCATGAGATATTTTTAGCTTGGTTTATAGGACTAAAACCTTTAGTTTGACTTCTGTGACTACCATGAGATATTTTTAGCTTGGTTTATAGGACTAAAACCTATAGTTTGACTTCTGTGACTACCATGAGATATTTTTTACTAGATTTAGGTGACTTCATTGAGAGATATTTACCCTGATGTAAAAAGTCTTATATGAATAAATTTAATTTGGTGAGTTTTATTCAAATAGATTTCTAGCGGAACTGCACTAGGTACAAATGTAGCTCATGGTGATTACCCTGAGGTGTCTCTGCCTTGACTCTGGTGATTACCCTGAGGTGTCTCTGCCTTGACTCTGGTGATTAACCTGAGGTGTCTCTGGCCTGACTCTGGTGATTACCCAGAGGTATCTCTGCCTTGACTCTGGTGATTACCTTGTTGTGTCTCTGGCTTGACTTTGGTGATTACCCTGAGGTGTCTCTGGCTTGACTCTGGTGATTACCCTGAGGTGTCTCTGCCTTGACTCTGGTGATTAACCTGAGGTGTCTCTGGCCTGACTCTGGTGATTACCCTGAGGTGTCTCTGCCTTGACTCTGGTGAATACCCTGAGGTGTCTCTGCCTTGACTCTGGTGATTAACCTGAGGTGTCTCTGGCCTGACTCTGGTGATTACCCTGAGGTGTCTCTGTCTTGACTCTGGTGATTACCCTGAGGTGTCTCTGCCTTGACTCTGGTGAATACCCAGAGGTGTCTCTGCCTTGACTCTGGTGATTACCCTGAGGTGTCTCTGCCTTGACTCTAGTGATTACCCTGAGGTGTTTCTGGTTTGACTCTGGTGATTACCCTGAGGTGTCCCTGACTAAACTCTGGTGATTACCCTGATGTATATCTGGCTTGACTCTGGTGATCACCCTGAGGTGTCTCTGCCTTGATATTTGTGATTACCCTGAGGTGTCTCTGGCTTGACTCTGGTGATTACCTTGAGGTGTCCCTGCCTTGACTCTGATGATTACCCTGATGTATAACTGGCTTGACTCTGGTGATAACCCTGAGGTGTCGGTGGCTTGACTCTGGTGATTACCTTGAGGTGTCCCTGCCTTACCTCTGGTGATTACCCTAATGTGTCCCTGCATTGGCTCTGGTGATTACCCTGAAATATCTATGGGTTGACTCTGGTGACTACCCTGAGGTGTCTCTGCCTTGACTCTGGTGATTACCCTGAGGTGTCTCTGCCTTACCTCTGGTGATAACCCTAATGTGTCCCTGCATTGGCTCTGGTGATTACCCTGAAATATCTATGGGTTGACTCTGGTGACTACCCTGAGGTGTATCTGGCCTGACTCTGGTGATTACCCTGAGGTGTCTCTGCCTTGACTTTTGTGATTACCCTGAGGTGTCTCTGGCTTGACTCTGGTGATTTCCCTGAGGTGTCTCTGCCTTGACTCTGGTGATTACCCTGAGGTGTCCCTGCCTTGACTCTGGTGATAACCCTGAGGTATATCTGGTTTGACTCTGGTGATTACACTGAGGTGTCTCTGCCTTGACTTTGGTGATCACCCTGAGGTGTCTCTGCCTTGACTCTGGTGATTTCCCTGAGGTGTCTCTGCCTTGACTCTGGTGATTACCCTGAGGTGTATCTGGCCTGACTCTGGTGATTACCCTGAGGTGTCTCTGTCTTGACTCTGGTGATTACCCTGATGTGTCTCTGCCTTGACTGGTGATTACCCTGAGGTATATCTTGCTTGACTCTGGTGATTACCTTGAGGTGCCTCTGGCTTGACTCTGGTGATTACCCTGATGTGTCCCTGCATTGACTCTGGTGATTACCTTGTGGTGTCTCTGGCTTGACTTTGGTGATTACCCTGAGGTGTCTCTGCCTTGACTGGTGATTACCCTGAGGTATATCTTGCTTGACTCTGGTGAATACCTTGAGGTGCCTCTGGCTTGACTCTGGTGATTACCTTTAGGTGGCCCTGTCTTGACTCTGGTGATTACCCTGAGGTGTCCCTGCCTTACATCTGGTGATTACCCTGATGTGTCTCTGCCTTGACTGGTGATTACCCTGAGGTATATCTTGCTTGACTCTGGGGATTACCCTGAGGTGCGTCTGGCTTGACTCTGGTGATTATCCTGATGTGTCTCTGCCTTGACTGGTGATTACCCTGAGGTATATCTTGCTTGACTCTGGGGATTACCCTGAGGTGCGTCTGGCTTGACTCTGGTGATTATCCTGATGTGTCTCTGCCTTGACTGGTGATTACCCAGAGGTATCTCTGCATTGACTCTGGTGATTACAGGTGTCTCTGCCTTGACTCTGGTGATTACCCTGAGGTGTCTCTGCCTTACCTCTGGTGATAACCCTAATGTGTCCCTGCATTGGCTCTGGTGATTACCCTGAAATATCTATGGGTTGACTCTGGTGACTACCCTGAGGTGTATCTGGCCTGACTCTGGTGATTACCCTGAGGTGTCTCTGCCTTACCTCTGGTGATAACCCTAATGTGTCCCTGCATTGGCTCTGGTGATTACCCTGAAATATCTATGGGTTGACTCTGGTGACTACCCTGAGGTGTATCTGGCCTGACTCTGGTGATTACCCTGAGGTGTCTCTGCCTTGACTGGTGATTACCCTGAGGTATATCTTGCTTGACTCTGGTGATTACCTTGAGGTGCCTCTGGCTTGACTCTGGTGATTACCTTGAGGTGTCCCTGTCTTGACTCTGGTGATTACCCTGAGGTGTCCCTGCCTTACCTCTGGTGATTACCCTGATGTGTCTCTGCCTTGACTGGTGATTACCCTGAGGTATATCTTGCTTGACTCTGGTGATTACCTTGAGGTGTCTCTGGCTTGACTCTGGTGATTACCCTGAGGTGCCTCTTGCTTGACTCGGGTGATTACCCTGAGGTGCCTCTGGCTTGACTCTGGTGATTACCTTGAGGTGTCCCTGCCTTTACTCTGGTGATTACCCTGTTGTTTATCTGCCTTGACTCTGATGATTACCCTGTTGTTTATCTGCCTTGACTCTCTTGAATACCTTGAGTTGTTAATAGCTTAAATGGTTGGACTACTTTGAGTTGCCTCTGGCCTGACTTTTGTGATTACCATGAGTTGTCTTTTGCTTGACTCTGGTGTTTGACTAGGATGAATGTCTTGTTTTGTCTTTAGTTTGGCTTTGGGGACCATCTTGAGATGTCAAAACAGTCATTGCATGACTGTTTTGAAATGTGATTGACTTGACTTTCAGGACTGTAGATTGTGGATTTTGTCCTGACTTGCAGTATAACTATCCTCAGATGTTTTTGGCTTGACTTTGGTGACTCTATCGAGATGTCCTGACTTATGTGACTTCAATGCTTTGTTGAAATAGAAACATTGTAAGTGAATGTGGGAATAATTTTATTTATGGTTACAGGGTTCCTGTTTTAGATTCGGAGGATGTGTTACGTCAGAGTGAGTCCCCAACGGCTAGCGTTGGTATAACTTTACCTGGTAAGTCATGATAGATGGTGATGTTTTCTATCTCGCTCAATAACAACCTAGTTTTGTCTCCAGCCAGTCTATGTGACAGCACCGCAGGATCAGAAGGTATACGTTAAGTCAAGGCTTTCTCTGCGACACAAAAATACCGATCAGCCTAATTTGTCTTCCCTGTACCAGGCTCTAATGGTGATAATTTACTTGCAGTAATTACCATAGATATCAGTCACCTCAGAATTAAGAAACAAGAAAAAAAGCTTTGAACCAAGGGGACATGACACCTAATGTATCGGAGAACTTTGTTCTGTCTCATGATCGATATTGGTGGTGAACCATGAGGTCCCTTCTGATAACTATTGAGGAACGTCAACTGTCTTGTCTCCTGACGGATTTCCTTTGGAGATGTTTTTTTTTTTTTTTCATTTCTCTAAATATTAAGGAAAATTAAGAAATGGTTGAAATTTATTTACATGTGTGAGTTTTGTTCATGTTCTTGAAATATACCTTTCACAATATAAACTATTGTAGGTTTGAAAAAAACCTGTTACCTAGCACANCCCTGAGGTGTATCTGGCCTGACTCTGGTGATTACCCTGAGGTGTCACTGCCTTGACTTTGGTGATTACCCTGAGGTGTCTCTGCCTTGACTGGTGATTACCCTGAGGTGTATCTGGCCTGACTCTGGTGATTACCCTGAGGTGCCTCTGGCTTGACACTGGTGATTACCTTGAGGTGTATCTGGCCTGACTTTGGTGATTACCCTGAGGTGTATCTGGCCTGACTTTGGTGATTACCCTGAGGTGCCTCTGGCTTGATTCTGGTAATTACCCTGAGGTGCCTCTGGCTTGACTCGGGTGATTACCTTGTGGTGTCTCTGTCTTGACTCTGGTGATTACCCTGATGTGTCTCTGCCTTGACTCTGGTGATTACCCAGAGGTATCTCTGCATTGACTCTGGTGATTTCCCTGAGGTGTCTCTGCCTTGACTCTGGTGATTACCCAGAGGTATCTCTGCATTGACTCTGGTGATTACCTTGTGGTGTCTCTGGCTTGACATGGTGATTACCCTGAGGTTTCTCTGGGTTGACTCTGGTGATTACCCTGAGGTGTCCCTGCCTTACCTCTGGTGATTACCCTGATGTGTCTCTGCCTTGACTGGTGATTACCCTGAGGTGCCTCTGGCTTGACTCTGGTGATCACCCTGATGTGCCTCTTGCTTGACTCGGGTGATTACCCTGAGGTATATCTTGCTTGACTCTGGTGATTACCCTGAGGTGCCTCTGGCTTGACTCTGGTGATTATCCTGATGTGTCTCTGCCTTGACTGGTGATTACCCAGAGGTATCTCTGCATTGACTCTGGTGATTACCTTGTGGTGTCTCTGCCTTGACTGGTGATTACCCTGAGGTGTCCCTGCCTTACCTCTGGTGATTACCCTGATGTGTCTCTGCCTTGACTGGTGATTACCCAGAGGTATCTCTGCATTGACTCTGGTGATTACCTTGTGGTGTCTCTGCCTTGACTGGTGATTACCCTGAGGTGCCTGTGGCTTGACTCTGGTGATCACCCTGATGTGCCTCTGGCTTGACTCTGGTGATAACCCTGAGGTGTCGGTGGCTTGACTCTGGTGATTACCCTGAGGTATCTCTGGCTTGACTCTGGTGAATACCCTGAGNTTGTCTGGAGGGGTGCGATAGTTTTGAAACTATTTCCCTCGGAAAATGCGGGAAATTGAGTGACGTCGTGGGCGGGGCCTGACCGAATATTGACCAATCAGCGCAATCAAATTACGTCTGCATTTCCAGCCAGCGGAGCCGGTACTTTCTGGACCAACCTTCACCTCGCATTGTTGTTGACAGACGACAACAGAAATGGCGACCCCCAGGTTTTCTGTGTTTGACGAGAGCGAGTTTTCGGACATATTGGAGGCAAAAGACAGTTGGAACACAAAAAAGCAGTACAGGCATCCGTTACATTGCTCTCTAGCTACCTCACTGAAAAGGGTTTGGACATGGAAATTCTCAAGAATTTTTTTTTTTTGCTAATAAAGTGTCCCAACTGTTGAAAATTTGTTGTCTAATGATATTTAGAATATTGTGAGGGAGTGTTTGTATCGGTATAATAAAACAGTTGAAGTATGGGTATTTCGAGGGGCAGGGCCAAAAGGGGGCAATTTGGCTATATTGCTTCAAGCAACTTCTTCTCTGGAACTTAGAGAAGGATATCAACCATATTGACTGGAAGCATCCCTAGGTAGTGGGAAATCAAAATTGTATAAATGGTGGGGCTGACCCCTTAGGGGACTGAGGGGCGGGGGCAATTGCTATACACGATTTCTTCTGTAGAACTTTGCACTGGATATCATATTTGATCGGAAGCATTCATGGGAGGTGGGGTTTCAAATTGTTCAAATGGTAGGGCTGACCCCCAGGGCTAAGGGGTGGGGCCAAAAATAGTTTATTACTTGGAAATGGTTGAGATCCCCACCCTATAACCATATACAATCGCTGATTATAAAAAGAAAAATGTACATATGCTTCCAGGATGGCTCTGGGGTCTGGCCCCACTCTTGGAGACATAGTCCCTGGGTCATAACTTTGAAACAGTTGTGATCCCCACCCCAAAACTACATATACTAATGCTTGGCATAAAGAGACGAATGCAGTAAAGATATTAGAATAGACCCTTGGGTCTGGCCAACCCCCCTAGGGATCTAGTTTCTGAGTCACCGCTTAGAAACAGTTAAGATCCCCACTATATAATATAACCATATATACAATTGCTGGGCATAAAGAGGTGATTATGCACATATGCTTCCAGGATGGCTCCGGGTCTGCCCCACCCTTGCAGACTTAACCCCTGGGTCATTACTTCAAAACGGTTAAGATCCCTACCCCAAACCTATATATACAATTGTTGGGCATAAATAGGCGAATGCAGTCATGATATAGGAATTGACCGAGGGGTCTGCCCAACTCTTGCAGACTTAACCACTGGGTTATAACTTTGAAACAGTTGAGATCCCCACCCCAAAACTATATAAACAAATGCTGGGCATAAAGAGTCGAATGCAGTCATGATATTAGAATAGACCCTGGGATCTGGCCAAACCCCTAGGTACCTTGTTTCTGAGTCACAGCTTTGAAACAGTCGAGATCCTTTCAATTTTTGGCCACCTATGTTTAGTTTGAAATGTACATGTTTTTATGATGGCAAATTATTATGTAACTAACAGAATTATGTTATAATTATTTGGCATTGAATAAATGCGTTCTGATGGCATTCTGATCATATCATTAGCCCAACCTTTTTTGCTGAGTGAAAAATGATCACAATTATTATGTAACTAACAGAATTATGTTATAATTCTTTGGCATTGAATAAATGCTCATATTCGACAACAAATTGGAATTTTAGTTGTTTTTCTGGTATTTGCAAAAAAGATAGCAGAGTTTCCATGTGTGCTACTACAACCTTGTTTTCCTGACATTCTAAACATGATGATATAAAACAATATATACAATTGCTGAGTATAAAGAGATGAATGCACTTATGCCTCCAGGATGGATCCGGGTCTGCCCCCACCACAGCAGACTTGACCACTGGGTCATAACTTCGAAACAGTAAAGATCCCCAAAACTATTTATACAATTACTGGGCATAAAGAGATATTAGAATTGCAGATCCTGGGGTCTGGCCGCAACCCTAGGGACCTAGTTTCAGAGTCACAGCTTGGAAACAGTTGAGATCCCCACCCCATAACCATACATAAAATTGCTGGGCATGAACAATCTAATACAGATATGCTAGTACAAGGATTGGCCTTGGGGTCTGACCCATTCCCTTGGATCTTATTTGGAGAATATTTTGCCATGATTGTGTGGCAGGGATAGCCTGTCCAAGTATCATGGATAGTGTTATTAATTAAATTAGAATGTTGTAAGAAAGATTGATGAATGAAATATTATGAGTGGAGTTTAATATGTAATTATGTCTTGTTTGTTCAGGTGTACATATCAGTGGCGGATCCAGAGACCTATCTGGGGGGTTTCCAAATTTCCTGGGGGGGGGGGTTCCATGTTGGAAAAAATTGAGGAAAATGGTGAAAATATATGTTTTTTAAAAAAAATTCTCAGGGGGGGGGGGGTTTCCTGAAGCCCAAAAAAACCCTCTGGATCCGCCACTGCATATATTGTGTGTAGTATCTAGCTCTTCTAGTTCAGTGTCATTGTCCATGTGTCAGTTGTTCAGTGCCATGTGCTGTTGTTTATGGTAATGCCCCTGCTTTGCTACGGTAGTGAGGTATGGGGCTTCCATTCGGCTAGGGATATTGAACGTGTACACCTTAAGTTCTGTAAAAGATTATTATATGTAAAGACTACAACACAAAATAACTTTGTTTATGGTGAGCTAGGTCGTTTTCCATTAAAAATAACAAGATATTGCAGAATAATAAAATATTGGCTAAGGATAGTATGCGATTCAACAAGCGATCTTGTTAGATCAGTATATAACATCTTGTATCAGGACGCTGAACAGTTTTCCAAACAAAATTGGGCTAGTGCGGTAAAAGAACTTCTTTTTACGAATGGTTTTGGATATGTTTGGTACATGCAGTCTGCAGGTAGTATAGAAGCCTTTATGAATTTATTTAAAATTAGAATTATAGACATTTTTGTTCAAAATTGGCAGAGGGAATTATCTGGCTCTACTAGAGCAAGATTTTATGTTAATCTTTCTAATAACTTCGAATATAAACTATATCTCGACCTTGTCAACATAAAACAGTTTCGTATAGCGTTAACAAAATTTAGAGTCTCTTCTCATCGTTTGAGTGTTGAGGTAGGCCGTTGGCACAGACCGAACCCTATTCCATATGCGAATCGTACATGTAGTTGTTGTGGGGTTCTAGAGGACGAGTATCATTTCCTTATGGAGTGTACCTTGTGTTCTAACATAAGACACATGTATATCAAGAGAAGGTATTTTCATCACCCAAATAGACCAAAGTTCCTGGAATTAATATCGACTACGAGCAAGAGTACATTGAAAAATATTGCCGCTTTCATTTTTAAAGCGAATGAGATACGGAACATTAACTTATTTAATCAGGAGTAACGTCCGCCCTGATGTCGTGAAACCTGCATTTAAGTATGGAAAGTCACTGTTTTACTTTATAATATATTTATGTAATTTAATGCATTGTACCACTACATATATCCTTGTATATGCAATGTATTTATGGCACAAAGACATTTGTGTCTATTGCTGAATAAAGATTAT